TGTGTTTCACCAGTGTTTAGTATAAGTGAGTTGATAATACCAACTGTGTTTTTTTATACAGTTTGTATATTATTTCCATGATGGTAGCTTGTTGTTAGTAGACTAGTTACAATAAATTAAAAATTATACACCATTACTAAAAGTACCGGTATATCTCTACCAACCAATCGGAAGTATCGGTATATCTCTACCAACCAATCGGAAGTATCGGTATATCGCTGCCGACCAATCGGAAAGATGAAGATGATTATTTATCACTTTCTCTGGAGATTGTATGTTGTACTATTGTCTCTAATTTGTTTAAGCTAGATCCACAAATTTTGTGTTTATCACTTCAAGCTTTTTTTTGGAGGAGCTTGAAACTCACCGTTTTGGTAAGCAATGGAAACGCATGTAATTTTATGACCTTGAACATTGCACATAAATAAAAATAATTGGGGGTGGGGAGTGGACCCATTTTTCGGAAATTAAGTGGGAGAAAACTTAATACAGTAGAAAAGTGGTTTGTGACACGAGTACTCCAATCTGGGATATTCGGAGTGAAATATTGAGCCCTATTTAAAAAATGCACACTACCCTGTATTTACGAACATTTGCCAAAGGGGTACCAGCACCATCTTTAACTAAATGTTTAGTATAATATTTTAGGTATAACAGACTTAAAGTTTTTAATGGATAAAACTTCGTTTCTATCAGGCTCTTCTCCTAACCATAATACTTGCTTTGTGTTATCTCTCGGTCGGTGAGTGGTAAGTATACAGACTAACCACGTTACAATCCAGGGTTTGATTCCCCATGCTGGACAGAGTGCAGACCTGTTGAAACATCAGTCAACTTTACTTAGCACTGAACGAAAAAGCTATTTAAAAAAAAAAAACATGACACTATCCCCTGTTTTTACTGGATCATCAAATGTTAACGTTGTGATCGAGTCAAACCAAGGCAAAGTGGCTAAGCTGTTTGTATAATTAATATAATTATGTACGTGCGAGTGTGTGTGTGTGTGTTTGTAAAGATGGCAAAAATATATTCGTTTTTTTTATATCGCTGCATCCCACCATTGTGGTAAAAATATAAGTGTTTTAAAGAAATTACGCATGAACATTATGGACAAAAGACAAACGTCCGTTACGGTGTATTTTACCCCATCTGCCCCCCCTCCCCCACTACAGCCTGTAAATAATCAAGTCGTGGACTTTTAACCCCTGTGCTGTCAGATATGAATTAATGTTCGTGAGCAGCCCGGGGGGGGGGTCTACTTTTAGTCTCAGTGAGGAGGATAAGGATGTTGGTCGATGATCATTTCGAAAGGTGGGGTGGTGGTGGGTGGTTTGTTATTAGACGTGGGAGACAGATGTTTTTTATGTGTTGAATTCTCTTCTCGTCAAACGCCCAATTGTCGCTTTCGAATTAACTCGTGTACTAGAGCACGTGGAGTAACTAACATTATGTATATCGTTCATCGGCACGAAACAACGAACAATGAGACTGTTAATATCGCCGTCACGTTTAGGGAGCTTATCCGTTTCAGTTTCATAATTTTTGTTCTCTTAAAACGAACTGTAGTCGAAGTTTACAAAAAAATAAAAAATAGGGATCATCTATATAGTTCAACATGTATACATGTACATATATAAGAAAACCGTTTTTTTTTTTTGCCTGCATTAAATGTATTGCTGTAGTATTGTCATGGCCTCTGCCAAATAATTTCAAATAAACGATTTTTAAAAACCAATTGTAATTCGATTTACTTGCCCTATTAATAGTGTTGATAGTATATCACCACTGGTTTGGGTTTCTGTAAAAGGTAATTTGTTTTTTTTTTCAATATTTCTTATCAATGAGAGGTCATTCGTTATCTGTCAGGAAATTCCTCGCTACAATCACTGTTTGTGGAAGAACAACAAGCTTATATTTGCATTGTAGCAGGCGCGTGGTAGAAGTTCACGCTTATTTTCGTGCAGCCCGTACAAGTTTTCCCTACAGCATGGCCAGGTGGTTAGGGGGCGCTGCTTGACTCGCAATCTGAGGGTCGCGGGTTCGACATGCTCGCCCTTTCAGCCATGGGGGCGTTATAATGTGACGGTCAATCTCACTATTCGTTGGTAAAAGAGTAGCCCAAGAGTTGGCGGTGGGTGGTGATGACTAGCTGCCTTCCCTTTAGTCTTACACTGCTAAATTAGGGATGGCTAGAGCAGATAGCTCTCGTGTAGCTTTGTGCGAAATTCAAAAATAATAACTAGAATAAATCTCCATTTAGCATTCGCCGTATTATTATTGTCACATGATTAATAACAAGTATAAATTCGTTGTTTACAAATTTTTGTCATAAGCTGGATGTGATTTTGCTCTAACAGTCACGTTATTTTAATGAGTGTTAGTTTGCTATTCAGTTTTTTTGCAAAATTAAATGTGTTGATTATTTTCATTTGCGCTTAATTCAGAATATTGATTAATGTGATCTTTCACATAATGATGCAGATGAGATTGAAAAGTTTGTGTGAATTGGGGGGAGGGTGGTAGCGATAGCAAAACGCAAGATTCACTCTTATTGTTGAATTACTGTATTGTGAACTTGAATCAGTTCACCCTGTTATCTTGACCTGACGGTTATCGTAACAGAACCATTTTTGATATACACGTAGTTTTAAATGAGATGAGCACCATTTTTAATACACGTAGTTTTAAATGAGACGAGAACCATTTTTAATACACGTAGTTTTAAATGAGACGAGAACCATTTTTAATACACGTAGTTTTAAATGAGATGAGAACCATTTTTAATACACGTAGTTTTAAATGAGACGAGAATCATTTTTAATACACGTAGTTTTAAATGAGACGAGAATCATTTTTTAATACACGTAGTTTTAAATGAGACGAGAATCATTTTTTAATACACGTAGTTTTAAATGAGACGAGAACCATTTTTAATACACGTAGTTTTAAATGAGATCTATTTGCAATGTGTTCAAAGCTTGGCCATTGAGCTATAAATTATACGTTTGCATAACCTCTGAAATGCACATCTACAATTTTTTCCAGTATCCTTGTATATGGTACTTAATCTCCTTGACCGTGAACTGTTCCTAAATCAGCAGTATAGGGTAAATTAAATAGCTGATAACTGACATTAAGTGCATAATACCATGTTGAATGGCAATGTGTAAAAGGTCGTGTCCTGCACACTTTGAATACCAACCACTGATGTAGGGTTAAGAGAAATATACATCATTAAAAGTTTCTATAATGTTACACGATTTCTGTAAAACCCTACTGATGGACTTGTAATGCAAAAATCCTGGGTTGATTCCACATGGTGGACAGAATACAGATAGCCCATTATGTAACTTTACATGGAAGAAAAAAAACATTTCTTAAAAATTTGAAAAAAAACCAAAGTGATTTAGTTAAGAAAAAATTTGCTATGGAACTGCCCAAATATTTACTATGTAACATTAATAAAAGTAGATAATTCTATTAAATGTTTTCACTTATATAGTTGGCTTCTTGAAATTAGTTGTATCGCACCTTGTGTTTTGTGTTAATATCTATTTATATGACTAGTTTGGTTCATCATACTTAATAGATAATCTTAGAATCGTTATATTGTCCAGCAACCTTAGGGATCTTTTAGTGCAAGCTTTACTAAATTAATAATGAAAGTCTTCCGGATATATCCG